CACGTGACCGTACACCGCCCGCCCGCCCGCCTGCTGCCCGTCCGTCCGCACCAGAGGGCAACCAATGTTCAATCTCACACTTTCTAGCTAGTTTGGGAGCACAGGAAGACTGATATTGCACACATATTGCACATCAATGTTGTGATTAATTGACAGCTGTCAAAACCGGGTATCCGCTGACCAGAGTCACCTGACCGTATCGCGAGCTCAGGTGTCACCTCATCGAGGTCGAGTATCTTTTTGCAGTTATCCGCTGACAAGTTACTAGTTTTCAAATGATTGCAGGCTCAAGTTTAATTTTTTTTAAATTCATATGAAATATGTCGTGTTTTGTATGTGCCGCACAATTAAAATTTTGATTTCAAACTGACCTCGGAAGCTAAGATTCAGCCAGTTTTTACTGGCAGGGAAGACATGCCAGTTGCTTTTGACTTTTTGACTGGTTATGAAAAGCGGCAAACATCAATGATAAGAACAACAGTGCTGCAGTTTATGTTGGAAGTACCGTGAAAGTGCACAATCCTTTGTTTTCTGTTGGCAAATTGTTACGGAATAAATTAATGCAACGTTTTTATTGGTCAATACAATCAAGATGATATAGGAATTCTTTTGAACGTTGTGCACTTTCAGGTACACAAAAACATATAACAAAGGAGTCTGACGGGTTTCATAACCATTCCACTCAATTAACTATGATTTGACGTTATTGAAACCGATGGCTGAAAATTGATCGCTTTTTTTTATATACAAATCATTTCCAGTGACACACAACTGATCGTGTCAAAGAAAAAGTAAAATCAACTATTACAGCTGATTATTAAGACGCGCAAAAGCCGATTAATAAAATGCATTTACCAAGAGAGAAACGAATTGTTCTTACTGAAAAGAAAACACCAACTTAATAACAGCCTATAAACCACTAAGCTGAAAGTTATGTCATGTTAGGCCCCTTTCAAACGTGCAATTTCTTACTAGCTATATGCACCACACAGGTAAAAAAGAGAGTAAAAAAAGGATTAAAAATAATACAAAAGTTAAGTTACGAAAAATTTGCTTCAAAGGGATTCGATCCCGGACCCTCAGAATCTGTTGGAACGCCACTGTCCACTGGAACACCTCGGTAAACGCTGACTATTGGAGTTTAGTATAATTACATTGACGATTATCGAAAATAGAGCGCCATAATTGGCTAGGAGCTTCGCTTCATCCCGCTATAATCACCGCGCGGTGATCATAATTGAAGGCTAGCAGTTTTCAAAATGGCAGCCAGATTTGTTGATGTTTCGGAGTCGGAAATTGATCAATAATTTTATTTTCTCGAATAACCATCAATGTAATTATACTAAAACAATTAGTCGCCTCAGGCGACGTTAATATTGGCCAATAGTCACCTCGACTTCGTCTCGGTGACTATTCGCCGATATTCTTGGCCGATATTCACGTCGCCTCCGGCGACTAATTGTTAATTAAAAGAGGTTTATATTCCTTCTCTATGGTGATTGACAGTTTTCAAGGATGACGTTTTCGTTTTTTTTTTTTTTTTTAATTTCCGTTTAGAATTAAATCTTTAACTGATCGAAGCTAGACGTAAATCTCACAATAAATCCATTAATACTCTTTCAGGCTTAATCCATGCTGGGGAACGTTTAAGAAATTTATGAACTATCGATCGCGCGGCTATCGACCCAACCGTATGACCGTACGATTCTTTCCCTGCTCGTAAGGGGTCTGTTAATAGTTCGGGGAAAACATTAATACAACATTGTTCATCATTATTTCCATTGTTTTAGGTTAGAGTAGTAATTTGGCTTTTAGGGCTAGAAGAGCTGCTACATGACCTTTCCAAAAATACAAGCTAACCTTTAACCGTAATCACACTATTCTCAGGGCTTAACACCAATAAGTATGGATAGTGCTTAACCCTAATTAGTGTTTTCAGTGCTTAACCCTAATCAGTATCGTCAGTGCCTTTAAAACCCTAATCACTATAGTCACATTATCGGACTGCCGGTCACTTAGTGTTTTGTAAATCTTGAAATAAATAAAATAAAAATATAAGATAAAAACTGAAAGAAAAGAATAAAATAATAAACAAATAAATAGTTGAAAAAGAAATAAAAATAAATCAATGCTAATAATTATTCTGTGTAGAAAACAACAACAACAACAACAAAACTACTGACCTAATGTTAGTTTAAAGTCCTTATTTCTTTGTCTTATATCTTCACGGAGGGAGAACCTGTTGACTAGGAGCACCTCAGAGACTGGAACGTTGTCTGAACCCAGGTCCACCCACCACCAACTGGGGTTATCTTTCTGTGTATGTGCACACTGACTGTTAACCCTAAAATTTGTACCAAGATTTCCATCCACTGCCTTCTCTGAATCACCACCACAGCAGGTACTACTTTGTCCGGTCGGCTTTCCAGCAGCTAGGTTCTCTACACATGTTATGTAAGGAGAAGATTGAAGCTCATATAAATATGTTTTTTTGAATGAAACATGAGCCTTCACAGTAGACTTAATTTAACCTTGGTTAGTAACGTCTATGAAGCAGCGCAAAGATCATTGTTGTAAGCCACCAAAGGACTCAAGGAATAATTGCCAGAAGTGTGTTTCGAATTTCCTGTCAACCTGGTTGACAAATCCACAAGAGGCCAATCATGGCATGTACTCAAATCCTGGTACACAGGTGAGGGCCCAGAACAAGGATTTTGGCATTAGTTGTTTGCTAGATAGATTTGGCATGATTTGGGGAGATCACTAGACATACATGAACAAGTTTCTCTTCTATAACCTTTAAGGCTTAAGGCTTAAGGCAGATACAGTAAAACCCCAAGTATAAGAACCTAAAATTTAAGAACTGTCAGGCTGAAATTTTCATTTTAAGCACCCTTCAAATAGGAACCATTTCAGGTTGAAATTTCAAAGTAGGTTCTTAATTTCCAAAGTAATGTAAAGTCAATCCGTTTTATTTTCTTGAAATAATACAGTACTCTGTACGTTAGAGTGCTTACACTGCACTCTACTGTATTCCATGTAACTAGCATGAACATGTGTGAATATGTTAATATAAAAGGCTATGCCCACCAATACAAATACTTTATTTCTTACCAAAACTTAAGAACCCATTTAAGAACCTAGATAGCCTGATTTCAAGTTAAGCACCATTCATATAAGAACCTGTTCAGGCTGACTTGGAAAAATCTAGGTTCTTATATGTGGGGTTTTACTGTACCACAAACAGTAAAAAGGGCAGAGTCCAGTGTATCAGAAAAGTGAAGGCTCGTACAAATTGTTAGTAGTTTCTGAGCATTGTGTTTAGCAGATACCTGTGACTAACTCGCTGGGTTTAATGATTGTGGTAGACACCAATGGGGTATGTGAGAAATCGGATGAGGAGAGGAATTTTTTTCTCCCTCACCCCACCAGATGATTTCTTATATATTTTCTAAGCTGAATTAAGTAAGACTTAACAAGGTACAAATATCTTTAATGTGCTGTCATAGGGTAAATTCCAAGGATGACACATAGGTCTCATACTTCACAGGAAGGCAGCTAGTTCAATTTTTTTCTTACTGAAAAAACGATGAAGGCAAGGATTTTGGGGGAAAAAAGGGAGTAAATTAGCATTTTGTTTAACAATGGGCTCTTGGGTTTAATAACCGTACCCCCACCTCCCACGGTTAAGCACATAACTTCACTTCTCAACCCTGTCAATTACATAAAATTGCATTCACCCAGGAAGACTTCCAAACAATATGGTTCCTACCCCTGAAGAATATGGGTGTACCTCGGATGAGTACGGCTCGATCTACCCATGGAAAAAATTATGGTTCTACCTCTGAAGAATCACCATGAAAATTAAATCTTCACCCCCAAACAATTCCATATATTGTTTTTTTAACTCTACCCCTAAAAAAATCCTCAGTTTTTGTTACTTCCCCCTAAAGAATTCCATTTCCACCGGCGGAAGGTATGGATATTAAAGCAATAGCCCAATGATTCCACTGTCATGATAATTAAACGGCAATTTGGAAATAGGTTTACCGCTTGGCTACCCAACACAGGGCCACTTATAACCATATCATTAAATAGCAACAAAAGCGTCTATTGTTATATGGAACGTTCTTCGAAGCCTCTCAACAAGGAGGACCTGAGTAGCCCTGGGCCAAGTCGTTCAAAAGCTGGGTTAAGATAACCCACGGTTAGTACGAGATTTGCATTTACATTTAAAAGCTTAAAAAGCATTTCATTTTTAATTCTTTTTGTCAACAAGTAAATGATTAGAACCTCTAAAAATAACAGAGAAAATTATCCGAGAAACTTCTTTTGAACACAAGAAAATGAAACCCGGGTTAAGCGCTAATTAATCAGCCTTCCAACAACTGGGCCTTCTATTCTTTCGGTAGTACCAATGATTCCCCGGCCTCAATCAAGCGACTCAACACGCCTACATCTAGCTCTCTTTTTATCATTCGACTTCCAAGCGGCTTCAATTTCGAAGATCGCGTAGAAGCGAAAATAACACAGGGAGTTCTGAAATCCGACTAAATCTTAACAACTGAATAAAGATAACTTGCTTCATGCGTTCTTTGGCGGCCATTTTAAAATTTGCGGTCAGCGTGAAGTCTGGAACCAGGATCTCTCCGTCAACCCCAGGGTCTTCTCGTTTTCCAATGGGAAGACTCTGGGGACGAGGTGGAGATCTCTCGTCGGATTTTCCGGAAGTTTTCGAATTTCCAACCATTTACGATTGTATTTCATCACGACATTTCAGCATTTTTGAACGACGCACGTCAACGCAACCGGAAGTGGGACTTTTTCCCTGTCCGGTCTGAAATAGAATCCGGGCCTACTGGAAAAGCCGGGTGGCATAAATCACTAAGAACTCCCAGGGGTATCCCTTCCCCCGGGGTAATTATAAGCAGAAATCGTTTACCTGGCTTTAGTTTTACTCCATATATTTCGGTTCTCAGACAGAACCTGTTGTGACTTGTTTAACCAATGAATCTCAGCGTTTTCGCTAAAACACCCTCGGAGAGGATGTTTTTATTTTCTGTATTTCTGTCGTTGTTACCTGTGAAAGTCTAACCACAATACAACAGTTCAGTCATATTTAAAGCGTCAAAATAGATACAGTCAATCTATTACATTTCAAAAAAAGGAAAATAAGTACGCACCTACATTTACCATTTACCCAGGGTTTTTATAAAGAGCAACATACAGTGAAACCTATATTAAGCGGACACCGTATTAAGCGGACACCCTCTGTTAAGCGGACAGTAGCCGAAGTCCCCACATTTATTTCCCTTATTTACTTTACATAAAACCTTTATTAAGCGGTCTCCTGTATTAAGCGGTCTCCGGTATTAAGCGGACGCGGACACCTAAAAAGTACCTGAAACATATGTGAAATGGTCATTTCTATTGTTGACCACCTGAATTAAACGGACACTTGTAAATAAATTCCACCACCCAACATGTCAGACACCGGAAATGCGAAAGATTGCCGCCCACAAATTTTTCGATTTTTACATTAAAAAGACGTGATTCGACGAACTTATTTGATTAGATTCACAGTACAGTATTGTTTTCTACAGTGAAACCTATATTAAGCGGACACCGTATTAAGCGGATACCCTCTATTAAGCGGACAGGAGCCGAAGTCCCCAAATTTATTTCCCTTATTTAGTTTACATAAAACCTTTCTTAAGCGGTCTCCTGTATTAAGCGGACGCGGACACCTAAAAAGTACCTGAAACATATGTGAAATGGTCATTTCTATTGTTGACCACCTGTATTAAACGGACACTTGTAAATAAATTCCACCACCCAACATGCCAGACGCCGGAAATGCGAAAGATTGCCACCCACAAATTTTTCGATTTTTACATTAAAGAACGTTATTCGACGAACTTATTTGATTAGTTTCACAGTACAGTATTGTTTTCTACTTCGTTTTGTTTCTATAGAGCTTGTTTCACTCATCTGATTTCTTCAAATTTGAGTTGTAATATCTGTTTTTGGTACTATGATCAATTGGTCCACTTTAATAAAGAAATTAATGTAAACGTATATCGTCATAGTCTCTGGGAATATCCTGAAGGTTTCCACTGTTCATTTGAATGGCATTTGACTCCTCATATGACGTTATCTATCGACACCTGTATTCGGCGGACACCCTGTATTAAGCAGACACTACAGCATTCCCCGAGGGTGTCCGCTTAATACAGGTTTCACTGTAGCTATTTCCGCAGAGATTGCGTCAACAACCAGGGAAGTTTGAAATTGTCATTTTCACAGAATTATAGTGCTTTTATCATTGTCCTTTCGACTAGTCATGTCAATTTTATTAGTGCTGCAATCAACATCATTATTATCGTAATTAGGCTAAAGAATCAACCAGCTCTTCTAATCGAATTTTAATTTCATACTAAGGCAATAGAACGTAACAGATAAACTCTTTTCATTTACATTTCGAAAGAGTTCCTCGTTTTGCAAAAGTCAAAGCTTTTCAGTTTAAGTGTTTATGAACCAAATTTTATTTTTGTCCTTACGTTCTGCAATATGTGTAAAATATGTAACCGAATTTTACGGTCAATAATCTTGCAAAATCTAAGTTGCAGTATGACGTCAAAACGAAGTATCGACTAATTTCTAGAAAGTTCTCGTGCTCGACGTTATTTCACCCGAGCGTTCGCTTAACCAACCAAAAGCTACGCACGTTTGTATATATCCGTCCGATAAACCAATCTCAAATGGCTCTTTTTCCGTTTGTTTGTTGTTTCTGTTTTGTTCGCCCGTTTTCATTTCACACTATTTGGTTTGTGTTTGTTATCGGTTTTGTTGTTGTTGTTGTTGTTTTTTGTACACAAGAGTTGGCATAGATAAAGTGGAAGGAATGTAGAAACGTACCTTATTTTGAACATGTTCCTTATAATCTTTCCAGTTTGTTCCATCCGTTGATACCTGGATTGTGTAGGTCTCTATCCACTGATCTGCATTTGGATTTCCTTGTGTTGACACAGCACAGACAATATGGATGGTTTCCAGGTCTATTTGTAAATAAGGTTTAGCATCTTCTGTAGACGCACACCATGCTTTTATTTCGTTCAAACGTCCATTCTTGGCTTCTGATATCTCAGAGGAGGCGGTTATACTGTTATCTGGGATTTTTCCACTTCCAATTCCAAGATCCAAATCGATACAGTCTCCTAAATACCCAGAGAAAAAGTAAATGAATAAATACCTTTTTCACGCTCATTTCCTTCGACGGCGACCTTTTCTTGTCCCGAGTATAATATCGATTCTTTCAAGTTGACCGTATCTTGCTCGTGCAAGGCTTCGGCAAGGGGACCAGTACTAAGACCATTGCCAGAAAACCGTTTGGTAGAAGAAGAGTAAAATGGTGGCTTTCGGTGCGTAACCTGTCTGATGCTCGGTATTATCACTGCTAAACTGCGCAAGAGAATGCGCGAAAAATCTCTCCTGTACTTAAGAAAATACAATTTTAGTATCCAACTAAAAACTTGAGCGACTTGATTTAGTAAGTTATTCATAGTGTTCAGCTTCCGGTTTATTGAGCTTATTGCCATTTGTAGGCAAAGTTCACGCGTACGTTATCGCACTCTAACTACATCGATTTTGAGGAAAACTGCTATGCCTGTCATTGACTAAAACCCCCCGAGCTCCCCCGCTCGTTCGGCCTTTGTGCGACGGGCGTCCCTTAGAAATATAAATTGCCTACACTGATCGCTAATTCTACTTGCAAAGTGTGGCTGATTGGGTCGTGTAATGCACTCTAGAGTGTAAATTTAGTACTAACTTCGCAGACAAGGATGTAATGAGACATATATTTGCGTAGATAGGCCTGCTAACCATGGGCAAGCATCCCTCTTGTATTCCTTCGATAGCCTGTCTATGCACTGACCTTTGGGTACAGAAACTAGCTGTCCCTCGTTGTACGAAAACGCGATAGTTCTGGCGTTCAATATTTTTATCGGGTGCTCATAAAACACCAGGACTGTATCGTGCGCCTTTGACGCTTTGGTACCCTGTGCTTTGGTTCATCGCGTTTTTAAAGGTGGAAATTAAGATATTCCCGCCTAAAAGAAGACTGCTAAAACGTGTCTTTCATTGACTACAGTGAAACGCCTGGAAATGAAGGATGTTTTGAAAAAAAGGGAAAATTGAAAAAAGTACTTATCAGTGTTTTGATAAGTGAAAGTAATGAGAATTAACCATAAGCCAGTTTTGTTTTTCTTTAAAAGCGGTTTTTGTGGTACCAGATTTGTACAATTACTTTCAATCAAACATGGATCGGATCTTGTTAATGATGACAGGACGTAATTAAAAGGCATTATGTTGACAGCTGCAAGGCATGTGCTTGCCTTAAGCTGCGAGTTTCCCGCCGCGTTTTAAACAAAGGGCTTCTGACAAAGCCGGCATTCTAATCCGCCGCAAATATGTGAAGCACGCGTCTCTCAAAGTCGCCTAGCACTTAAAATCGTAGCCTGCGTGGCAGGCGTTAAAAGGGGAAGGGGGAATTTGGGTGCACGAGAGCACGTGGGTTGCGAGAGTGGGAAAGGAAAAGAACGCCTGCAAGGACGCCATTGTTTTGTCCATTTTTATGCTCAGATTCTGAGCGTGAAAATAGTGATTGGTCGGAATTAATCAAATGCCAATCTTCGACTTAATACCTTTCTCCGATTGGCTGAAATCAACATCACGCCATTTGAGTAACTAAACATATGTCGTTAGTGAAGCATGATGAGATTTCTCTACGGGAATTCATCGTTAGAAGGCAACAATTTCAGCTTAAAAGGAGAATAGAAAAAAGCAGTTGAAGAACTGTATGAAGGAAAAGGCCTGTCAGCAGATGAGTTTTACTGACTGGTTCTGAAAAGTATCATCTCCTAATGGCTTGTCGGTTTTACTCGCCAGAAGAAAGAAAGGAAAAATTAAGCTGTCTGTGTGCTTGTTATTAGCCTGTGAACAGGCCTTTGGTCGAGCGGGGAACTAGGGAGATGGAAAAGCCCTTTCCCTTCCCTTTCCTTTCTTTTTTTCCCCAAACAGAGAGCCTGTGCACAGCCTAGCTTGTTATCTGCTGTTTGACCCGCGTTATCAACGGATCCAATTCGTCCTGATGGAAATTCAAAGGGTGCGAGACGACAAAGTGTTTTAATTTTTCTTAGACAAATTGCATTGAAAGTTGCGAAGAGCCGCTACATTTCTTGTTAAATAGTTTTCCAGCCCGATTCCTTCAGCAACAACTTCAATAGATTTATGCTGGATTTTACGTAACTTGGCACGCTTCGTTGCAGCTTTAATTTCAAGGAAGATTCCTTCGATGGACGACCGCATTTGAACTTATTTTTATAGTACGTTTACTTTAGATTTCTTGTTTTAGGAAAACAAAAGAAAAACAGTGCGAGGACAATAATTATGCGCATCGCGGCTAGACTTATTTGACAGCTAGTCGTCACAGTTATTTTTGTTATTTTTTTAATCGGTAGGCGGGATGGCGAAAACAATGGCTTCCTTTCAGGCGTTTCCCTCCTCCGTCCTCCCTCGCGCGTGGTCTGGCGCCCTAAGTCCCTTCCCCTTCCCTTTCAAACGCCTGCCACGCAGGCTATTAAAATCGGAGCTCTGGCCACGAACAAAAAAAAAACTGCTTAATCAGGATACAACTGGAAGTAACTACGTAGACTCTTAGATATTATAGAAGCTGAAATTGAAGTAAAGCAACCTTTCGCCAATTTCTCGACCTTCCCAACAGCAAACAAAGAATTGCAGGTTTTGTTCGCCGATACAGTACAAATCTGACATGTTACTTAAGAAAGAGCAGCAAGAAGCAATTCTGTGTGGCACGAAATTTTTGCGGTTGTAATTTTCGCGATTTTTGCGGTTTTTCCAGCGATCCGCAAAAATAAGCTCCCGCAAATAAAAATTACCGCAAACGTTTTTGCAGCAACACTAAAAAATTAACTCGAGAGTAAATATTCGCTAACTTAAATTCGCTACACAAAAATATACTACTAAGAAATTGTGTCTATTCAATCACAACTTGTCTCTCTCATTAAGAAACAACGAAACACTTGGTTTATTAGTGTCGCTTGCGTAAGCAGCGAGATTCATAATCTGCAACGCGTTTTTCGCCCCGGGGGGCAGTCCCTTATATAGGCTATGTAGTATGAGCAAATAGCCAGTACTATAACCTTGTCAAAGAGCTTGGGTTGGGTGACAGGGAATATTATTTCAGGTAAAATTGCCAACATTCTATAGGTGAACTGAGATATCTTAAGTTTCTGCGATTTCATCTTGCGATCTTTAAACTCTTTGAGAGTTTTGTCGTACGTATAGAATGGGATATCGACGAACAGCTTCGGAAAGCAGTTCGTTGATATCTGGATGCATACGTTCATCACCTCATTCAACCTCCCCTGCAGCCGCCATCTTGAAAATTGTGCTTGAGCGAAGGAGACTACGTTCGATATTTCTGAGACGCTCTGATTGGTTCTTTGATATGTCGTTAGTTGATGGACTCCCATCATTGGAAACTCGAAGAATCCAAGACATGCTATTGACAATAAACAATAGTATATCAGACAAAGCTCTACCCGCAATTAGAGATCTTATCACCTTACTCTCATCCAAATACAATCTTCGACATGATTATATCCTTTCATTGCCTAAAGTTAGCACGAGTAAATACGGTCTCAAATCCTGGAGATATTTTGCCGCTAAGAAATGGAACAAGCTAGCAAATGACATTATTAGAATTAAAGCATGCTTAAGTATTGACTGAAATCGGGATTGATAGTGATTGCTGCCTGTTTCTTGTTGTTGTTGTTGTTTAATCGATTCTTAGCTTTTACAGTTTTCATATGATGAATTATTGTACATTTTTAGTTTTTAATTTTAAATTTTTGCAATATAATTCTTGTTGTTGTTGTTGTTTTGTTTTGTTTTGGAATTTTAAATTTTAGGAATATAATTAGAGTATAATTAGGGCCGTGGATTACCTGTAAACTAGCTAACAGCTAGGCGTAATATCCATGTTAAATAAAGTATCGTACCGTATCATATCGTCGAAGAGTGTTCACACTTGTTTTTAGCTTGCATAACCGAAACCTAACGACATAACGAGATAAGGAAATGATCAGTTTTTTCCTTATGTCGTTATGTCGATGTCGTTATGTTGCTGTTATGAAGTTATGTCTACATGTTCACGCTTGCGATATAACGACCCTCTTATGTCGTTCGTTATGTCATTATGTCCAAAGTGTGAACCAGGCTTTAGGAAAGATGAAATTTAGAGCAAGAGAGGATAAAGGGGACAGAGAAGACATCCCCTATACACACCCTATTCCATAGGTAATTCGTCTCGAGTTAGTTTTAGAATCGGGATAAAGTTACCTCGCGCGCTGCGTGGATGTTTCGTGGAGGTTTCGCATGACTAAACGCCGTGCAAACATGTCGGGCGAAAGGCAATGAAAGCGTAAAGAGATCGAGAGCATTTCTCAATATTGAAGCGAAATGAGTCGGCGCTCACCTGGGAAAAGGGAATCGCTGAACTCTTTGACAACCCGTGAAATCAGTTTAACTCGAAGTTGTGGTAACCTCTGTGCTTTAATAAAATGAGAAATTTCGCCGGTCTATTGAAACCGGTCGTTTGTATAATAAAGCAAGTAGGATGCCAAGTGTTATTATTGTTGAATAATAAAAGACTAATAAAAGAATAAAAAATTACAAACCAGAAATTGCTCTCTTCAAACTGTAAATTATAAATGATACTGGGAGAATATTCAGTGTCTTAAGGATTTCTCTGCTGTACTGTTAGCTCTATAAAAGAAAACTTACAAAAACAAAATTTTTATTCTTCAAAAACAAAATTTTTATTCTTCAAAAACGTGCTCTCCGCCTCATGTTCTTTGGTGACTACAATTCTCATGCAGTACCTTGTTTTGTCTCCTCTAGCTTTCTTATTTCCCTTAAATCTACTCTACTATAAATCCGTTGCTATTCTAATGCATGATATATCTAACAGCTTAACATCTGCTATCACATCTAACTTATTTGCTTCCCAATCTAATATTCATTCATATATTACAAGATCATCTTCAAGGGTTGACTATTATGTTAAACACTCAAGGTTAGACAAACAAACTAAGTCTTTTTCAAGATATGGTGTAAAAATCTGGAATAGTTTACCGTGTGAAATGCGTCAAATGTCCAAAAATAGCTTAAAAATCAATGTCCACGACACTTTACTCCGAATAAAGATTATGATTATAGTGGAGCTCCCGCGCGCGAAGCGGAGTAGCATGGGAAACAAAATTTGGTAAACTATTCATCCGAGAAAATTTGGTTATGACGTAGCGTACGCCCGCCCACCCGTACACACACTTCATGTAAGCCGAAATCAAATGTCACAATAGATCTTGCATAACTTGACTAGCCTTTCAGTTTTGTAAGCTATCCGAATGAGTACGATTAGATTGACAGCTGTCAAAACCAGACATCCGCTGACAATTATTACCATCTCGCGGGCTCAGATGAAAGACCAGTCGTTTTGCCCCTACATATAAGCTGATATAACATGTCACACTTACCAATTCAACATAAAAACGAAACTACCCCGGGCAGGGCTGTCAGTCGGCTAACAGTCGTTTAAAGTTATATTGGCAAGCCAAATTAGGGTTAATTGACAGCAGTCAAAATGGGATATGTGCAGACCACTATCAGCAAACTAATAACGTGGGCTCAGGCTCGCTCAGGTACACGATCTGGCATTTTCCACAACAAGCCGGACGGATATGTCGTACTCACAGTCGTAGTCTGTTAATTCGAATATTCGCAATTCTAATGAAGGTTAATTGACAGCTGTCAAACTAGAGTATACGCTGACCATCACCACCTGATTGTATCGCGGGCTCATTTTTCTATCCATTGACGTCACGTAGTTTTTAAAGTTTTCTGCTGATATTTTATTTGATCACGGGCTCAGTTCAAAGGCCCATAGCTAAGAAAATCTCTCCATCCTAAAAAATTACGCAATCACGTGACCGTACACCGACTACCCAACCGTCCATCCGTCCGCACCACAGGCATGCCAATGCTTAATCTCACACTTTCTAGCTAGTTTGGGAGCCTGCAACCTGATATTGTACATCCACGTTTTGATTAATTGACAACTGTCAAAATAGTGTCTCTGCTGACCAATATCACCTGACCGTATCGCGGGCTCAGGTATCGACCCACTGAGTTCGAGTGTTTTAGAAGTTATCCGCTGACAAGTTGCTACTTTTCAAATGATCCCAGGCTCAAGTTCAATTTTTTTTAAAATGCATATGAAATAAGTTGCGTTCATGAGCCGCACTTTTCAAATTTTGATTTCGAACTGACCTCGGACGTGAAAATTCAACCGGCTTCTATATGCAGGGAAGGCAATCGCTTTTGACTTTTCTCACTGTCACGCGTTGATCACGCTCTAAGTCCACTTTTTGTGTTCTAATTAGTCACAATTTGACAGGTGAGTTCACGCGGAAAAATTCTGCAGCGTCTGGAAACTTGCTTACTGATAGCCGAAGCTGACAGAGTTTTGTGTCATCTTGTGATGTTTTAAACGGTCTTTTTCCATTTTATGTACAAAATGAAATACAGCTGCTATCAAGATTGTTCTGTAATTCATGGATGGTCTGTTTATTGCCCTTTTTGTTGGCAAATGCACCGCTTGTCAAAGTCATTGGAAATCCGATTTCTGATGGCATCGTTTTCAAAAATGAGCTTACTCACTTGCACTTGCTTGAGGCGTAGGAGGGTTGATAAGTCCCAAGCGATTCTGGAACACTTGATGACTTTCAGAAGCAGCATCTCGACTGGTAAGCCTGAGCAATTATTGTCTTTGATGTGTTTTTTTTTTTTTCGGTTTCCTTAAGTCGAGCGTATGGTTTATGCGGCTTAAGTTTATACACGAGCAATGATCTAATCCACAATAGTATCATCTTTAAAAAGCCTTTAGACATTGTTTTGACCGCGAATTCAAAGAAAAGGTTGAGAAGAATATTTAGTTCTGGTTTTGGCTGTAAACAGAAAGCTCTGAGCGATTTTCTTGCCTCGAGTTCATCTTGAAAAAGAGCAAACACCGGGAAGCCGGCTTAAAACACAAAAAAACTTATGCTTACCTGACTCATGATTTTCAGAGACACTTTCCTGTCAATACTTGTCTTCGCGAATGAAAATTATTGTGTCTGTACATGTTTCACCGAATTATATTGATTTTATTGATTGTTAGTAATCCCCCTCGCAATTTTTATCGCTGCGCCGGTTGTTTCGAACATAAACATCGCATGCAGGAATACTTAAAACGCCGCGCGTAAATTGTCACTCGCTTTTAAAGATTACACATAACAAAACCGCAAACAGTTTTATAAATAAAGGGAAATAAAACCTAAATATAACAAATTTTCTACCATGTTGAAGCGTAAATGGTAACTCTTTTAATCGCACTGCCAATTTAGTGCTTGTCAAAAGTGAGAACCCGTCCGGCTGGCCGAAAAGGTGATTTTGGCAATTTTTTTATCGTTTTCACTAAAAGCCCATAATTATTACCCTGCATATCACATAGGACCAGAGTTTTCTAACTGAAAAGTCCCGGCATTATGGAATTCTCTTCATGAAAACGTTTTATAATGTGGTCAACGCTATAATTTGTTGTGCAAAGGAAGCGCGTGCTTTGATCACAGGTAACCCAGGCTCACTGTTAGTGTCACGTTCGGCTTATTTCATGGCGAAGTTTAGGTCTGGAAATTTGCTAGAAAATGGAAATAAAAATCCATGAAACTTACCATGTGGCAAGTTGTTGTTGCCCTTAATGTGTACTCGAGGTTTCGGGAAAAAATAGCCTGCTTCACCGGTCCTCCATGGTATTATATTTCGGGGTTGTCCTATTATTGATCTCCAAGCGGAGCAATGTTGGAGAGACTGGTGAATGCCACATTATGATGCAACAGCTAATGCAAATACAATACACTTTCCTGCCTAATCTACCGTGATCGAACATGATTAATATGCCAAATTGTTGTTCTCTAAAATCACTTAGCCTTTGCCTCAAAAGTCACATGAATGTGCCCTGATCTGTGGATTAAAAGTTTATTGTTTGATTTAAGTTACAAATTTATTAAAGGGAGCTTCGCTTTTAGCCCTGGCTAAATCTATATATTAACAAAAATTTCCTGAAAACTCGGCTTCTTATATTTGTGTACATGATTGTAAACTTAATTAAATTGAATTTATTTTTATTTATTTGTTTATTTATTTCACTACTCTTTTTCTCTAATCTTTCTTGTGATCTATCTGTATATCTATTGCATACGTGTAATTACTGCTCGCCTCGACTAGCTAATCTGCTAACTGCGGGCAGTGGATATTGCTTTCTGTAAAATTTGTCATAATTAATAAACAGTGTGAAACAGTGCAAGAGAGGAAAGGTGATTCCTTTTAATTTCCGTTTCGCTGACACACCTTTAGCAGAAATCTCTCCTTAGTTGTTTTCGTCTACAAAACAAATAGCAATATCGCTCTGCGCGTCTTCCGCCATTTTTTTCTGCGTCAATTTGTGAAGGACGCGTGTCTCTGAGCGTGGGTCATCCACGCGGAACACATTCGCGCTATGTGATTGGCTGTTGTCAAATTCCCCTTGGGATTTATGGTCCTAAAAATAACTCGAGACGAATTACCTATGGAATAGGGTTGTATGGGGGATGCCTTCACTGTCCCCTTTATTCTCTCTTGATTTAGAGCTTTTCCGAAATGTGTCGGTCCACGAACTCTATCGCTTGAAAGCGTTGATTACTTTGTAGAAAGTGAACAATACTGAGTGGTCGAAAAAAAAAAAAAGAAGAATCTTAATTAGCAAAATTGCGATGGTCAGGTGTTGTAAACTTTCATTGTATGCAAATGAGCCTTGTGGTGAGCATGCGATTTATTTTCGGCGATGATTGAAAAGACGTGCCATGTAGATCACTTTTTCAATCTCTGGCAATGAGTGTAATTTCTCTGGAATCGAGGCCCTTGAATTTTCGTGTATTTACACACGCGTATAGCCTGCGACCGGAGAGGTATTTTTGGTCGTCGCTAACACGCGTATTAAATCAATTCAAAAGCGAATAAAAAGTATCGAAATCGATAAAGTAGGAAATAAAAAACCCGTAGCGAGTAAATCATGTTTCTCGTAGAATTAATCGCCTCCTAATTTCTCGATATAATCTCCAAGCAGGCGCCAGAGACCTCAATGCCGCTGTAAGTGCGTTCTTGTTGTTTGAAAATATGTATTTCTATTGCACGTACTCAACAAAAACGAAAATATTATCAATGCTGGGTACTTGGTACTTTCTGAAAATTGCAAAAATTAATTCCACGCTTGAAAAACCAATCTGTCCTAATCCCCAAAATTAGTTCCCGCAAAACACAAAAAATCGCCAATCCGCAATAATAAACTCCCGCAAAAATTTCGTGCCACACGGTATCTACAATCTTGGACAAAATAAATGGAAAACCTAGACCCCCCTCCCCCCGCCCAAATCAAGGATGGGAAAATGGTGCGTTTTTGCCCTTTGCGCGGCTTCATTCTTGATTTGGGGAGGAAGAGGGTTTGCTATTCCATTTTATTTTGTCCAAGATTGTAGCTATCTCGATGGGCGACAACTGTAATCGTATCTGTTTACGTGTCAAGCCAAAGTGCAAAAAAATGACACTATAACATGTGGATAGTTCGTAGCAGATAACACTGGCCTACCTGATACCAAAGAGACGAGAAATAACGGAAGTATCACCAGGAAATACGGCACTGGATAACCCGACGCCATGTTAGTGTGTCTTTGCTTCGCCCTCTGAAAGTAATATCAACTATATTCATACACGTTTCGCTTGGTTAACCTTTTCCTCTTGTTTCATTATATCCGATATAATATCCGCCGTAAGGCAAGCTTCGTTTTTTAAGTCACGCACAGCGCAATGGTGCATACAGTTGTTGAATCAATTTTTTTTAGAAAACTTTTTTGTGGGGCTACCATCCTACTTTGAAGCCCTCTGGTATCCTCACCTTTACTTTGATCGTAGGTCTAACATATAGCATGGAGAACATATAGATCATAGATATAGATCATAGATCATCTTCGCTCCAATATTCATAAAACTGTGGAAGTCCGACAGCTCAAGAATTTCAATGAAGCTGAATTTTTGCAATATCTTCGCATGATTGACTGGAACCGTTTTATAACGCATAATAACCCAAATTAAATGTGGGACTTTTGTATACACCTGTTAGCAAGTGTTATTGATAAGTATGCACAGCACCATTCAGAACAAAAAGGGTTAAAAACAAACGCTCTCCCTGGATTACTAATGTACTGTTGCGTGAAATACATAAAAGAGATTTCTAAAAAAAAAAAAGCTGCATCTACAAATGACCCTTTGATTTGGAAACAGTTTAAAGATGCAATTGCAAGAAATAAGGCCAATAACTCAGTGAAGAAATTTTAAAAATTTAAAGCTAAACGTAAAATATTAATACTTTTCTGAAAACCTTGATACAAACAAACGTGATCCTCGTAAAACCTGGCGATTAATTAAAGAACTCCAATCTCGGCAAAGTAAATCAACCAAAGTGTCTCAAGTTAAAACAGGAAACCAAGTTCTCACCTCACCTGGTGATATCGCTGAAGCATTAAAAAACAAATTTTACAAACATAGGCCAATCTCTAGCACAATTTTCAAAATCGTGCTATCAGAGTTATCACCAAATCTGGCTATGACACTAGTTCCAGATTTCTTCTTAACTCGCATGGTTGGGACAATTTATCCGTTAGAGGGGCTAAACAAAGGGCTAATTTAATGTACAAGTGCATTAATAATCTCTATGATCGACTAATTGTTTCAAAATTATGACACAATATACGTGCGGTTTTTTCCCACGTATACTTGCAATCATTCCTGCTACACGATATACGTGCGTTTTTTTTTTTTTTGCCACATATACTTGCGTTCTTTCCTTTCTTTGTGGGGTTTTTATTCCGAAGTATATGACTATTTTCTCACAAACGCGCATATATTCTGTGTTTTCACTCACGTGGCCAGCATCTATGCAAAATTTATTGGAACAAAAGAAAGCGTTTACATAAGAAAAGAATTTAACTCTCACAGGATTGTTTTGGGACACAGACATGGCCGCCGTTTCATTGTTTTGGGACACAAATATAGGGGCCATGACGTCACGTGAAAACACACAGTATGCGCACAAAAAAAGCCCATACATATGTGTTACAAATGGGGTCACAGAGAGTCGTCGTATTGTTGGTTTCCACATGACGTCACCAAAATTCAAACTAAAAAAAATATTGATCCTACCGAGATTTTATTAGAGCAGCTGAAGACTAATTTTCATACAAATTTTCGCCTCAAAAGGGTTCTTGGTTTTGTTTTCGAGTTCGCTTGAATTTCTAAGCTTTTGCGTAACGCGGCGTTTACATGACAGCCAAGAGAGCTGTCATGTAGGTTTAAAAATGACTTATTTCAGGAACTTTTGCTATCTAAACCGTTCGTGTATTAGAAAAAGTATTACTTTTAAGAGAGCTGTCATGTAGGTTTAAAAAATGACTTATTTCAGGACATTTTGCTATCTAAACAGTTCGTGCATTAGGAAAAGTATTACTTTAATGTTTATGAATTTCTCAGAGAATAAATTCACGCTTTTGTAGCAGAACTTGGTAACAGATGTTTCTGTTGGTTTCCGTCCGCCATGTTGGAACTCATCCTGGTGAGCACCAGCATGGCGTCTCCATACAAATCTCTATACTGGGTAAAAAATTTCTTCGGATATCTCGTATACGAAATATTCCTCTGACCTGAATCTTGGCGAGGGTTTTTGTATATGTACCTCCTTTCATTTCCCAGATTCTGGACTTTATCTGTTGAACGGTTTTCATTTTTATCTTGATCTATTTTGAATGACGTAACACTGAAAACAAGCAATAAGAGGCACCGAATATACCGTCAGCAAAACAACAACAACGACCACAAGAGCAACAATGTATTTATTTAAATAAATATAAAGTTACAATACTTTATGTCCTGCAAATAGCTATAATACTAATCTAAGCAGGACAAGACTTTAATGTACGATGGAGTTAAAAAGTAACTTCAGTTTGAATCAAGCATGGCTGCAATGGCCGCGTTAATTTCGAGCAAGGTTTGGTTCTTATTCATTGCCCTCACAGTAGTGGTGGTTGTTGGCTCCCTGACAACGAATTTGTTGGAATCCGTGGATAGTCTCTTGACAGACTGTGTACGCTATTTCACGAATGGTGAACGAAACTACGATCGATTCAGGTAGAAATGAGCGTCCGACAAGCCAAACACGACTCAGAAGCTCGTATGATAATGTGAAACATGACCTTGAGAGTCTGCTTGAACAGATCGGTTTTTCTTCTTTTCTCTCTCTCACGCGAATTATCACCTTTTCTCCGCCTCGAACACGTTCTAAGCCTCCTAGTCTCGAGACTTTGTATTCTTTCCCTCCATTCACTCTATAAATTCTATGTTTCTTGTTTTGCATTCTCGCATTTTAATAGCCTTCCACCTGCCTCTCTTTCCTTGTTCCTCCCGTTTAATTGTTGTTTTTATGCTTGTTTGTAACGCATATATACGGGCTTTTTTTGTGCGCATATATATGCGCGTTTGTAAGAAAATGTTCATATACTTGGGAACAAAAACCCCACAAAGCAGGAACGAACGCAAGTATACGTGCCAAAAAAATGCACGAATATACTTTCATAATTTTGAAACAAATGGCCGTCCATAAATCTCTCCCCGGCTTATCTCCGTAATTTGTTTGCCCCAAGAATACTGAATTACTATTTTCGCAACGCGAAGAAAAAATTAATGCTCCCAAAACCAAGAACTGATTACGTACCTGAAGCGTAGCTCTAGTTAGAGTGGCGCTCTTCTATGGAAAAATCTTCATGAGGAAATACGTACATCAAATAGGCCAGGTCCGAGTTCCCCCGAGCCTCTGTTTCAAAACGAGAGTAGGTGCTAGGCCTTTGATATGGAAATCATTTTTCATTCTAATGCAAATAATACTCATTTCACCAGAAAGGTTTTACACCTAGCCTCATTTTGAAAGTGAGGGTTTTCGGAACTCGGCCTCTTCCTTAGGTCTCTTTAAGAGAAGTTCCCGTAGATGGTTTTATCATCCTGAGTACTCCCACACGGCAAAACTGTAAAATAGTTTTTGAGGATTTTTAATTAATTTTCTATGTTAGACTGATGCTTTTAAACCTGTATAAATAAAGTTATCATTCATCAATCTACAATATAGCATAAACTTTTTGGCGTTCGGAGTAAATGTCACGTGGTTATAGTGCCACGCCTCTTTGGAGACTGAGTGGAAATTCTGCTGTTGCCGGCATTTTTTCGTGAAAATCGCTCGGCTACATATAGTGCGCATTAGTGCCTTTCGTTGAACAGAGTTTCACCAAAATCGCAAAGACCCAATGCGAGAAATTCAGGGGTTTGCAAATTTAGGTCATATTTATGTAAAAAGGGTCATTAAACTTTACACGATTATATGTAATAAACTATGAGATTTATCCCTTTATTTTGGGAATATTTATAACAGATGGGTCCTTGCAAGTCAGCAAAAAGCTTTAGGGCCTTGTAAATGCAAGCGATTTCGAGCAACGCAAACATATAGAAATTATAGTTTTAGCTATTTGTTGACGTTTGTCAGCATTTAAGAGTCCTTCTCACGAAGAAAGCATTTTCTAAAAAAATCGTATTTTTTTCCCTAATTTTTTTTAGGGCCACAATTGATTAACTAACTACCCGTATTCTGAATTTCATGGTCGCTGAAAAACTGTGACATTATCTTCTATAAGCCCAAACTAGAGTAAACATTGAAAGATTTTTAGCGTTTTGACAGAGATTGTGCTCTGGGAGTTTTCTATTGTTTCTAGTCTGTCATGATACAATATTCTTGTTGAGCACGCGTGAAATCGAAATGACCGCGCTTGGATGACTTCCGAATGCTCACCGAGCAAGATATATAATTTTGGTACGGTGAGACAGCCGATCGCGTGATACAAATAGGTTTAACTCACGGTTTTTAATCAATTCTTGTGCTTCTTGTGTCTTTGCAAAAGAATCAAGAAATGCTACACTTCGTCTCTCTCCCGAATAGCAAACAAAACCTCGGCCATTTTCTTTTTAGAGTTTTTAATTCTCGGCATATTGTACCCTCAGCTAGCTGGAGACTTAACGTGACGGGAATCCCGTCTATTTTCTCATGTCGGTGAGCATTCAGTTCAACGCAAGGCACTAATGCGCACCATATGTAGCCGAGAGATTTTCACGAAAAAATGCCGGCAACAGCAGAATTTCGACTCAGGCCCCAAAGAGGCACTATAACCACGTGATATTTACTCGATCGACAAAAATTTCATGCTATTTTGTAGATTGATCTATATGTTATCAGTGCCATACGCTAGACTTACGAAGTAAAGGTGGGGATACCAGAGAGCTTCAAAGTAGGATGGTACCCTAAAAAAAATAACTGGGTCGAGTCACCTAAAGTAGGGCAAAAGAGTAGCTTCTGAATCAGCAACCTCGTTCCCAGGGTTTTCTCCTACCTCCCTACGGAGGGCGGGTAGGAGAGAACCCTGGGAACGAGGTTGCTGAATCAGTTTGGTACGGTAGTTTTAGTTTGGTACAGCAGAATTTCGTCAGAGTCTGCCGAACTTAACTTAGGTTCGACACACGGTGCGCTGTCTGAATCAGATGTCGCGCTGATTGTCGCTCCAAAGTCGAA